ATCCTAGTGTAATTGTGAAAATGATTTTGACCTCATCATTCCCTGATAGGTCTCAGGGACCCCAGGATCCTGAAGACCCCCTGTACCAATAGGATTTAACCCTATGTCTGGGGTGATCTTTCTGTGACTCACATAGTAATGGCGGGGAAAGTTAGACTAATAAAACTCTGTGGAGGACGAAATGGAGGATGGATACTAAGTTGGAAGCACACGGTGACTATCATATTATACAACAGAGAAGTGGGACTTTGGAAAATCCTTCTTCTACATAGCAAGTCTGTAACGGTTCCCAAAAGATGCTAGGCGTCTTTTCTGCACTTGTTGTCTTTCTGGGTATTATGCTCTGTAGCAGGAGGTGTGGAACTAGTTGGGAGAATGTGGCTCTGGGTAGGACCAGTGGATAGTATAGGAGGAAGGCACCAGGCTGTGTTGTGGGGGTGACTGGGGCTGCCATGGGAGGAGAGCTCAGAGTACCATGAATGCAAGGTCACCTGAGAGGTCCAGAGAGAGCAAGGTCTGTGGAAGCTGAAAGAGCTCCCAGGGGCCTGTGAGCATGACACTGGGTGGAAGACAGGACTGTGAGAGTTCGTGGGTGCTCAATGTCCAGAAACCAGAGAAATTGCCATGGAGAAAAACTCACAAGGAGAAAGAGTTTAAAGAACGGACTTGATCTGTTTAAATGGCATCTTCGGGAACTTTGAGTGGGTAATATTAGCACTGAGTATCCTGCCAATCCTGATCTATGCACTTTCCACGTATCCACTGTTCTATGAGTCCTCTCTGTGACCCATTGTATAGATGAGGAAGCTGAGGCCCCAAAATGAGGACCCTCTGTCCTTAAGTTTGGAGAATCATTTGATGATTTCAGCAGGAAAAGCTGGACAAGGCTCTGAGGGAGCAAAAGGAAGTGGATGATAGAGCCTTTGATTTATTTTTTAGTGACAAAGACATATTAGTTGAGGATGAACAGGACTCCTTTCACATAAATAAGTGAAGGTGTGGGGTGCTGGGGAAATTGTGATGAACGTGTTTGCAGAACACACATGATTTATACCATCTAAATTTAATACCATCTAAATTTAAATCCACTGGGAGGCAGGATCATACCTCAGAACAGCCGTGTGGTGTTGGGCCTGGGAATGGTGAGATTTGCGTATTGATTTACATCTGGGAATGGAGCGAAGAGTCTCTTTGTTTTAGAACCTGCATTGATTCTGCCGGACTTTTTGAAAATGGTTTTCCGTCTCCTCTGGGTAATTCAGGACCATTCGTACAGCTGAAAGCTGCCTGGCATTTAAAGCAAAGGATGACGAGCTGGGTCAGGCCTTACGAGAAAGAAGTGGATTGGGGTGGTATGTTTTGTCTTTTGGGCCTGTGTGTGTTGGAGATGCCTTTTGGTGGGAAGCCTTGCTGCTGTTGGGGACCTCCTTTCTTGCCAGTGTCTTTGCAGGCTGGAGTCCCCATATGGTGATCAGGAAACGAGGTCCCCCCCCCCGTGTGTGTGGTCCTGTCGGCCATGGGCTTCTGAAGCAGATCTAGAGCAGGTAGGCTACACAGTTGTCCAAGGAACGAACCCTCAGGTCTCATCCACAAACCTCACCTCTCGATCGTAAATCGGGCAGATATGAGTCGCTCCCTCCTGGGGTGTGATGAAGATTTGGCTAATGCCTGTGTAGTTAAAACTTTCAGGCTCCGAATATGTTCACTGCTTGTGACTCCTGTGGTTGCTGCGTATAAAGATGCCGTCCCTTGATGAGATGACCTCGTAGCTGTCGGGAGAGAAGGGTATACAGAGATTACCTTGAAATGACAAGCGATGGGGTCAGTGGCACAGAAGTTTGTGGAGAATTCATGCATGGAAGCGGCCAAGAGGGGCCTGGGAGGTGGCTCAGAATGGAAGTGAATGAAGAGCTAGAATCGGCATGGCCAGGAGGAGGAGAGACGGGGGCCTTTCACCTGTGGGTGGCAGGATTTGAAACCAAGCCTGGACGCTGTCCGATTCATTTTCTGTAACCTATCTGAAAGCCAGTGTGGCTGATGAAAGGCTGGATCTGAGACAGAGATGGGCTGGAATCTCACCTGCGTGGGCCAGCACTGCCCCCTTGGGCAGTCACTTTCACCACTCCTCTCTGAGGGTGCCTGTGAGGAGCAAGTGTGGTAGCACCTGGGGATGTATCTCGTACAGGGCACAATGCTGACCAGAGCTGGGCTGTGGGTGGGTTGGTTGTGGACTTGCTACTGGTGGTCAGATGTGGTCTCAGTACACACATACATACAATTCTGAGGGTCATCTGCCTGCCAGTGGACAGAAGCAATGGCTCTGCCTCTCAGGTTTGGAGCCTTGACTCGTGGGCAATTTCACTATGATTACTGAGAGTCAAGATTTGGCCCTACAATGGCCTATGACTCTTGTGGCCAAGTAGGCCATCCACCATGGATGTTTATCTCAATGCCACCTTTCCACTGAACAGAGCCCTTTTTAAGGTTAAGTTGGCCTGCTATATTAATTATTTCCTGCTGAATGACAAATGACCCCAAAAGTTAGGACCTTAGCACCACGGTAAGCTTCTAGCAATACTCACTGTCCCTGGATTAAGAAGGTGGCACTTAGGTGGCTGGGCCGTTCTGGCTCAAGGTCTCTGGAGAGATTGTGTCATCTGAAGGCTGGGCTTGGATTGGAGACCCTTTTCTGAGATGGCACACTTGTGGCAGACTGGAACCGGTTGCTGGTGGGAGGCCTCAGTTTCTCTTCATGTAGGCCTCTCCACGGGGCTGCTTGAGTGTCCTTCTAACATGGTGTTTGGCTCTTCTCAGAATGAGTGATCCCAGAGACCAGGGCAGAAACTGTGATGCCTTTAGCTGCGGAAGTCACATGCCACCCCCTCCGCCAGGCTGCACTGTCTCATAGACCAACTGACTCTAGACCAAGCTAGAAGGGGACTAGCTACGGGCATGGGGACCAGGAGGTGACGACCAGTGAGGCCATCTTGAAGGCTGACTGCCACGTGGTGTTGTGCCAGTCACATGCTTGGGCATCTGTGTGGGCAAGAGAATTCTTCCCCTCCATCCCTGCTAACTCTCACTCACCCAGGCCAAAGGCCTCCCAACCGCCCTTTTCCTATCTCAGTCCTTCCTGCTGACCTCCACCCCAGCTGGTTTCTCTCTGAGTTTTTAAGCTTGTGTGGCAGCCACCTTTTTTCCAGTGGCCAGTCTCTCTGATCACATTTGTTTGTCGTTAGAATTTGGAAGATGTAGAATAAATTTTTTTTTGCGATGTAGAATAAATACTTTGTGAATAATCTCACAAACCTTGGAGGCTTAGAAGGACAAATCAAGACTGAGACCTTGTGGAGATAACAATCTAGCTGCGACTACTGGAGTTCTAGTAACTGCCAGGCACTGGGCAAGGGACCTAGTCTGTTCTATCCTCATTCAACCCTACGTGAACCTTTGTGATTCTGGTAGTTCATAGAAAGCAAGAGTGAGAATTGTGGTAAGTTCATGGGGTCTGGAAGTACCTAGTGAGATTTGAGGCCGGTCTCTGACTTCTGAGGCCTGTTCTTCAGGGTCCCACCGCATGTGGACATGGCTGTTTCAAAGCAAGCTCCCTTGAAGGGTGCTGTTTGACCCATGTTTACTTTGTAGGAGGAAACAGTCCCGGGGTCACAGGCCTTGCCTGGGGCAGCCTGCTTAGAGGGACAGAGCCCAGACAGGAGACCCCAGTCACTGTCCCTAGCACAGGTCTTTTTCTTTCCTCTGTCCCTGTGGCTGGCAAACTTGGGAGAAATGAGGGAATGTAGCAGATGCCCCCATGGAGATCACTAGGGAGACTGTGCTGGGGCGATTCAACTCAGTCTCATTTGCTTCATTCCTGAGTGTCTCCTGTCCTGCAGGGCCCGCTCCAGCATGCCGCAGTGGCAGAGGTGGTGACAGTGGTGGTGGCCATGGTGATGACAGTGGTGGTGGCGGAATGGTGGTGGCAGTGGCAGTGGTGGTGGCGATGGGGCTTTCATTCCTCATCACTGCAGCTGCAGCTCTGGGCAGGAGGCCTGTGAAGTCCATATTGGTCCCAGCTCTGCCTCTGTATTCTTAGGGCCTCCGAACCCACACAAAACTCTCCATCACACACTACCCCCTGCTGAAGGATTCTCCTGTGGGACTTTAGACATGAATTTCTTCTGACAGTCAGTTCTTAGGTTGCCCAGAAGTGGAAACAGTACAGAAATTGAATGCATGACTTTCTCATTCATTGAAAGGCTCCAACCCTGTCGCTTCTGGAGCATGCTTTTTTTTGTGTGTGTTGGAGTCTCACTTCGTCATCCAGGCTGGAGTTCAGTGGCATTCATGCTCATGGCAACTCCAGCGTCAACCTGCTGATCTCCAGTGATCCTTCTGCTTAAGCCTTCCAAGTAGGCAGCACTACAGGCGCGCACTACCACGTCTGGCTAATTTTTAATTTATTGTAGAGACGAGGTCTTGCCAAGTTACCTGGGCTGGTTTTGAACCCACGGACTCAGGCAATCCACTCGCCTCGGCCTCCCAAAGTGCTGGGATTACAGGCTGAGTCACCGAGCCTGGCCCTATGGGGCGTTTTCATTTTTGAATCTTATGGGCCATTTTCAAGTTTCCCCTTTTCTTTCAGGAATTGGCTGTGATTTTAGGGCATGCATTCATGCTTCTTATTCCTCAGGTTCACTGCTATTCTTCAGGGATCCAGTGTGGCTGGCTGTACCCCTTGAGAAACCAGTCTGCTTATGACACTGTTCCTGGACATTTCCACCTAAGCCACCTGAGCTGGTGCTACCAGGCAGCAGCTGTAACTCTCATGACCTTCTGCCCAAACTCTGCCATGTGACATACGTGGAAACTCCCTCGTGTCATGGGAGGTGGCCCGTGGATCTTCAAGCTAGACTTTGTCAGAGCTAGGAGGTGGAAAAAGTCTTGCTCAGAGACTGTTCAACACATACACATTCCTTCTCTCTCTCTCTCTTTTTTTCCAGCCTGCAAGTATTCCTGCCACAAGAAATGTGAAGCCAAGGTAAGCATTCTGCTGCTTTCCCATGGGACTTTTTATAGCTGAGTTGGCCTTCGTTGAATGACATGCATAGACGGGGGGCCCCTTTGGACGGTGGCCACAGAAAGGAAACTCTTAAGGAAAGAAATGGCTGGTAGATGCTTTTCGATGGGGGTGCACTTCTCATCTCAAGAATAAATCGAAGAGCTCTGAAATTCATGGGTTTAATTATAGAAAATAATTCTCAAGACTTTGATTTCAGATAGGAATTCGGTAATTTTCTTTTGGCCCGTCACCAGCTCTTTCTCAGTGACAGACGATCACTGGTTTCTCGTTGCCTTGGCATACTGCTTCACTGGCAAGAGAGGGGGTAGGAACTGAGAGGGTTGGGTACATTGGCTTGCCCTGGAGGGCTTTCCTGGCCTCACTTTGAAGATAGTTGTGCATAGATGGGTTGAGGTTTACAGCTATGGTGGAAACCTGGGATGGGGTAGTGATCCTGAGTTTGTGCATTCCTAGAGAGGTTGAATTGCCCAGTGGCCCCAAGAGCATGCCTTGTGGCATGTAAGACTTTGCTGAATGGAGAAGTGAGGTGACCAGGAATGCAGTATGGCAATGCATTCATGGTGTCTGCACGCCCAGATTTCCTAGGAATGGTGTCTGCATCTATGGATTGCCTAGGGATGGTGTCTGTACCCTCGGATTGGCTACGGATGGTGTCTGTACCCCCGGATTGCCCTAAGGATGGTGTCTGAATCCCCAGATTGCCAAGGGGTGGTGTCTGAGCCCCCAGATATCTTAGAGCTGGTATCTGTACCTCCAGCTTTCTTAGGGATGGTGTCTGTACCCCCGGCTTTCCTAGGGGTGATGTCTGCACCTCCAGATTGCCTAGGAATGGTGCTTGTATCTTCAGATTGCCTAGGGATGGTGTCTGTACCCCCAGATTTTATAGGGATGGCTTATGTCCCCAGTATTTCCTAGAGATGGTGTCTGCACCCTGGATTTCCTGGGGGTGGTGTCTGTACCTCTGGACTTTCCAGGATGGTGTCTGTACCTCTGGATTTCCTAGTAATGGTATCCATACCTCCATATTTTCTAGGGTTGGTGACTGCACCCCAAGGTTGCCTAAGGATGGCATCTGTACTTCTGGATTTCTTAGGGTTTATGTCTGCACTTGTAGGTTTTCTAGTGTTGGTGTCTGCACCCCTGGTTTCCTAGGGTCTGTGTCTGCACCCTGGGCTTCCTAGGCATGGTTTCCCTCTGCAGTGGAGCCACAGCATGTTATCCCATTGACTGTCATGCCCTGCCTTGTGGGGACCCGCTAGGTGTCCTTACAGGCTCCTCTGGCTGTAGGTACAGGGAGAGGGGGTTTTAGAGCCTTGGGAATTTGCTGCTGTTGTGGACCTCATGGGTCAGCTGTTCCGAGAACTTCCAACCTTGCTGCACATGGGTCCGTTTTCCACATGAGGCCTAGTGGGGCTGGTCTCCTTCACCCATCCCACCACAGGCACACACAAACACACACATGTACATACATATACATGCACCCACACAAACATTTGTACACACACATACACATGCGTACCCACAAACACATGCTGGCTCGCATACACACATACACACGTGTGTGCACATACATGCGAGTCAGAGGAACTAGACTATCTAGCCCTATTATTTCTCCAAGAGATTTTCTTTTTAAACCGGTCATTATGGAGAGTGCTGAGCACACGCAGGGGCCTGCGGTTCCCGTTCCCCAGTCCCAAACCAGCAGTCCCTCTGGCCTCACCACACATCCCTGCTGGCCTACTCCTTCCAGGGTATCATGTGGGGTGCTCTGGAAGCTTCCCCTTTCCAGCTGAGGCAGGCACATCTTGCTCACATACCCCTCAGCGTGGCTGATTTCTGACTGTGATTCGTTTTTGGTCTTTTCGCTCACAGATGTGCTCCTTTCTCAGGGGTGCCATGTACCTCTAGTCTAAGGGATCGTGTGGGAGTGGTGCTTCCGAAAGCAGTGGGGAGAGGGGAGGATTCCACCTTTGGGGAGTTTTTCAGACCAGGTGAGGTTTCCTCCTCCCCTAGGTGGGATTATATGTGCTCTCACCCCTGGGGTGGTCTCCCTTGTGGTGGCCTTTGTCTTCTTAGCTTGCACCTCATCTCACTGAGGGGATAGGAAAGAAGGGACAAGTGGCTTGTCCCATCTCAGCCACCAGGCCTGGCCATTGCTGGGCTACAGGTGCAGAGATAAGCCCAATGGTATTCTTCCATTCCTTAAATGTGGCCCATTGCTGGCTACTTAAGGGATTGAATTCTTTGGTTCAAAGACCATTCCAACAGCCTTAACTATCAGGGAATATGGAATTTCTAACTACAGCAACTGGCAGTTTGCTGAGGGACGAAAAGGTTTTACTCCTATCAGATCATAGTGTGGGGGGGATTTTTTTTTTTTTTTTTGATAATACAGCTTTGAATGGCAGGAGAAAATACCACCAGCTATAACAAAGTGCCTTCTCATTCCAAAAATATAATGCCATCGTTGTTGGGGATGTAAGGGCCATAAATTCTCAGCAGTTCCTGCAGTGTATGGCGCAAGGGAAGCGGCTCAGTCTTCTAGAACTGAAACGTGGCTATGGCTTCTACCATCCCATTGCACTCAGGTTTGGATCCTTGAAACTGTGTGCACCTGTATTACCATGCAGGCTTCCGATACTCAGTGCACTCAGCTGTCTCTGGAGATCCTGAGGCTTTGGTCTCACGTCAGACCTGGGACTGGGTGAGGGTGTGTGTTATGTAAACCCCCTTGTCAGCGTAGTGGGAGCACATGTGCCACGTTCAAATGTGCCTGTGTCCACTTGTGCCTGTGTCCACAGGCAGAGCATGTTCCCTGGGGTGTGTGGCTGCTGAGCAGTGGTGCTAAAAGTTACAGCCACTCAGCTGTCACTATCAGTGCCACCATCACAGGCTCTGGTCCAGGCCCTTGGTGTCCCCTCTATAGCACTGAAGACGTGAGAGACCAACCTGCAGAGATAGGGATTGAGTCATTGGCTGGGGGCTCAGGCAGGAAGACTGAGTTCGTAGCTGGGATGCTGAGAAGCCCTGATATATTGAAGCCAGTGGCTTCCTGAGCCATCAGACTGTATACACCACCTCAGGACAGGCTCTGCTGCTCAGGGGGCAGATGGAGTAAGAGATTGGGCTTAGAATCTCTGTGTGGCTTTTTGTCTGCTGAAGCTAGTCCGATCCCTCTTGCTATGTCTGGACGCTTGTGTCCTCCAAATTCTTATGTTGAAACCTGACCTCCTGTGGTGATGGTATTTGGAAGTGGGGCCTTTTGGGGGTGATTACTTCATAAGGGTGCAGTCTTCATGAATGGGATTAGCCTCCTTACAAAGCAGACCCAGAGACCTCTGTTGCCTCTTCTGCCATATGAAGGCAAGGCTAAACAGTCACCCAGTCTGCACTTACCAGATACCAAATCTGCTGGCATCTCTATCTTGAACTTCCTGGCCTCTAGAACTGTGAGAAGTCAATTTCTGCTGTTTGTAAGTCATTCAGTCTAGGATAGGCCTTCAGCCTCAGTTTCTTCATGTGTAAAATAGGTGAATAATACTTCTCCAAATTCTTCGAAAAGTGACTTTCTCCTAGCTGTTGATTATGGTGACGATGGTCATACAAGTTTTAGGGAAGTCAAATAATTTATGTACAATTACCCAAAAGCTTGGGATTTCAAATATTTTGCTTACTGGAATGTTGTGTTTACTTGTTTGAGCTGCATGAGCTGTTTGGGCACCATGACTTGGTGTTTTCCTGGCTATGATGTGACTCATTGGCAAGAGTGAAAAAGGAAGTAGGAGAAGTAAACAGTTTTAGGAAGGCACGTGTTGGTGAGGAGAGAAGGGGGAAGAAGGGGTGCCAGGTGTGTCCCCATGAAGAGCATGAAGGTGGAGTTCTGTGGGGCTTAGGCAAGCAGCTGGGGACATGGGAACCTCTTCTCTGCAATTTCAGATGCCCCGTTATGATGAGCTGCCTTTTCCATTTCTGCCCAAACCCAGAGGCATGCATTTATTTGAGGTGCACTTTGTTTGGGATATTGAGTACAATCTTGAACCATCAGAGGTTATATAAACCTCCAGAGAATTTTTTTTGCAAATTTAAGACCCCAAGTCGAGATCAAACTCATATGAGTTACCCAAGCTGGAGCACACACAGGGGATGGTGTTAAGGGGCACCCTGGAGAGGATCCTCACTCCCAGCACCTTCCTGAGCCTAGGAAGAATGCCAAACCTCCTGCCATCTGGGTCCCAAAGGTGCTCTCAGACGCAGCTCGCTGTTCCTCTCTGGGCATTCCTCCGTTTACACCCTTGTTGAATACACTGCACACACACTGACTCTACCTCCCCCAAGTGAGATGGGAGGCACCTTTCAGGCTTTGTAGGAGGCAAATGCAGTGAGAAGAGAGAAGTCCCGAGCTCTGTTTGGCCTCTCGGCTCCTTCCCCAGTCCTTGTGTTCCATTTGCTGGTTGCCCAAACCAGGGCTTTCGCCTATCCTCCAACTTGCTGCTTTTTTTCGTGAAGAGAGAGTATATCAGACAGGCCAAGCTGTAAACTCTGGAGATCTACCCAGAGATCTGGAGATCCTGGAGAAGTCAAAGGGATTCCTTCTGCCTCGAAAATCCATGCGGGATCTGCCCTCCTCGCCTGCTTCCTCAGGGACCTTTGCTGGCCTCTTGCACCAGTGATCCCCATCTTCTGGCTGGGGTTGGTGCAGGAGCCTTGGTCATCTCTACCAGATAGACTCCAGGTAAAGACTCAGTCCTCTGGGTGGTACCCATCTTCCATGGAAAATGTGGGACCCAGAGTTTATGATTTCTTCAGAAACCATCCATAGACATTTGTCCTGGGTGTCACTAGATATCCAGTGACTTAACTGATAAGTTTTAGCCATAAACGTATATGTCTGGTAGTTAACCTTTATCTTCAGATAGCTCTTCTTCTCTAAATCTTAAGAGTCACAGCTGCCATTTTTT